ATTATGACAGTGGCCTAGGTCATATATTTAAAAAAAATGGTTTGAAGTCTGAATGAGTTAAAGAATATTTTATACAAAGTACAAAACTGAGATAATGATTTATTACGACACTGTGACATCTTGCGTGTGTCAGCTTATTAAGGAAATAATAGGATCTTTGAAGCACGAAGTAGTTGGATTCAATTTAAAATCAAATTAAAACAAATTAAAGATAAATTACAGTTGGATTCAATTTAAAAATAAATGAGTAGAATTTATTTTGTATCGGGGTTATACTAATTTATTTTGATAATTTTAATTATCTCGAAAGTAAATGATCTAAATATATATATATGTGTGTGTATATATGTATATTATTTTTGTAAAATAAAAATAATAAATATATGTTTAGAAATTAAATGTTTGTCGTACTGATTAATATCTAGGTTTTTTAAAAATTATATATAAAGTAGTGATCTTTTCTCTTCTAACTGAAAAATTTATGTACACGTTGCCCAGAATTTGAAGAAGCTCCTCCAAAAATACATTTTTGAAAATATTTCAAAGTGAAATATTAAAAGACACAATCTCCCAACAGTAAACTTTCGTCATACGAAAGTTTCTGTAAATTGGAGTCTGAAACATCTGATCTCATAGCATCTGTCACCACTTTATCAAACTTTGGATATATGATATATCTGTATTAAGACACTTAAAAAAATGTATCTCTCGATTTAAACTTTGATTTCTTTTAATGAAAAATGTAATTGTTTAAAAAAGCTCGAGTTTTGCCTAAGTAAGATTAAATAGATATTTAAAATAGAATTATTCCAATGATTCGCTTGTCAATATTCTTCATCTGCAGATTATATGTGAATAGAAGTTATTTGTGGAACCGATCATCTCGCGCGTTCCCAATTTCTATTCGTCTTATATAATATATAGAGATATATGTATGTAGAGAGAACATATCCCCGAGATTCAATTTATTACGTTGAAATTTACGTATTCAATACGCATGTGAAACGAGAGATTAATACTTTAATACCTGTTTTCCTTGTAAATTCACATTTACATTACGTAGATGTCTACTATTTTTTTTCCTCTTTTGTTTACTCTTTCTTTCCATCAAAAATATAATTTAAGTTTAATTATATGAAACTATAAATAGTTTTTAATTAATAAACCATATAATAAATAAACTATAAATAAAACTAAATAATAAATGGTTTTTAATTAATAAACCATGTAATGAATAAACTATAAATAAAACTAAATAATAAATGGTTTTTAATTAATAAACCATGCAATGAATAAACTATAAATAAAACTAAATAATAAATAGTTTTTAATTAATAAACCATGTAATAAATAAACTATAAATAAAACTAAATAATAAATGGTTTTTAATTAATAAACCATGTAATAAATAAACTATAAATAAAACTAAATAATAAATGGTTTTTAATTAATAAACCATGCAATGAATAAACTATAAATAAAACTAAATAATAAATAGTTTTTAATTAATAAACCATGTAATAAATAAACTATAAATAAAACTAAATAATAAATAGTTTTTAATTAATAAACCATGTAATAAATAAACTATAAATAAAACTAAATAATAAATAGTTTTTAATTAATAAACCATGTAATAAATAAACTATAAATAAAACTAAATAATAAATAGTTTTTAATTAATAAGCTATTAATATATTTTAATTAATAAACTGTAAACAATTATATGAAACTCTCTTATTCAACACATTATATGAAATTAATATACATATATTTTAGTTATAAATTCGTATAATCATTATTTCCTTGTTATTCCTTTTTTTTTCATCCGAATGTGTACCCAAGGTTTAATTTAATGTCGTATTTAAAACTCGCACGTAATTGTATTATGTGTGAAATGCAAAAATTAACAATCTAATATACACGCTTCTCTTACAAATTCGTACAATCATTTTTTTTTTTCTTGTTACTTCTCCTTTTTCATCTGAACATATTCCCAAGGTTTAATTTAATGTCGTATCGAAGCTCACGCATAATCCACGTAATTATATCATGCGAGGTGTAAAAATTAATAATCTAACATACACGTGTCTCTTATAAAATTCATACAGCCATATTCCTTTTTTTTTCTTGTTTGTTCCTCATTTTTCATCGTTGTCTCGTCTTCTCTTGAAAATTCCGAATTTAGCGTGTCTTGTTAGCTAATAAGATCCTTAAGGACGCGTGTCGCAACCGTTTGACCGAGTCGTGCGCCCTCGTCGTTATTGGACACGGTTATAATTGTCCAGATATACTTAACGAACGTTCAAGCAAATTACACGGCATCGAAATACACTCTGCATTGCGGCCTAAATTGATATTAAGTCTAATAGGGGAGAGGGTTTGCCGTTTCTGGATGAGCCTCTGCCATGTGAACGCAGAGGGAAACGTGTCTGCTTTCCGCGTGGCGTCTATAATTTACCAGCTCGACTCGAGAAAGTCGATTGAAGAAGAATCAAACTTGTCCACGTTGACAAATCGGCGAAAAATTAAGGTTACGTGTTGTTAAACGAATATTAGAAAATATTGTCTAATTAAAGATCACGTGTAATTTGTTCCCTTTTATTTCGAACCGCGATAATTAAAATTGAGAATTCGCGGTAACCGACGATCATCATAGAAATACGTCGTCCACTCTGACTTCAAAAATTGGAATAAAATATATACAAAATGCACACACTCTCAATCACTCAGTTTGCACGCTTAATCTCGATAAATTACTTATTCAAACTGGCAATTCAAACAATTTATTATCGATCGAACTTTCCGCTCGATTGGTGTTTAATTGCCATTTAATTACTTCTCGTCCCCCATGTGTGTGTATCGAATATTAAATGTTTATAATCGAGTAATCGCATTTCTATTGAATCACTTAATTAGGGAAAATTCCGAAAGCGAAACTCTCGTGTTTCTAGAGTGTAAAACAAAGTTACAGTTCTTTCTAGTTCTATTTGAAGATCACAGGTGAAAAATATGATAAGTAGACTGCGGATTTTTATATATATATATATAAATTTATATTATATATATTTGTTTATATATAATTATATACTTATATTATATTTATTTGTTTATATATAATTATATACTTATATTATATTTATTTGTTTATATATAATTATATACTTATATTTATTTGTTTATATATAGTTATATACTTATATTATATTTATTTGTTTATATATAATTATATACTTATATTTATTCGTTTATATGTAATTATATACTTATTTATTTATATATAATTATATATTTATTTATTATATATAATTATATATTTATTTATATTATATTATATTTATATATAAATTTGAGGGTAATCTACAGAATGCATATAACGTATGCAAAACGTATATAAAAAGATTTACAAAAACATACTATATAAAATACTCGTCATAATTTCCAATAAATAAACTGAATCTCTATTTAATTTCTATTTCTCTGCGCATGAAGAATTCCTCTGTTTCTATTCCCACGATAGAAATTTATACAAAAATCCGCAATCTTGTGGATCACCCAGTGCGAGTCACACTTCTTTTAATGAAACTGCCAGTCTCAATTCTCATTAATACCGCGATATTCTAATATAAATGTTAAATGAAACTGACACGACTGATTTATTCTCGAAATGCGCGTATTTACGATAATGTCTCTCCCTTCAGCCACCTTACGTCGAAATACATTTTTCTTGTTCCGTTTTCCTTTCGTCCACGGGAAAAACAGACACAACAGTCGGCAAAAATGGACTTATCGTATCTCGTTATTCGTGTCATCGTGTTTCATTTCATTTTCACCATTCTTCTCACCGTCCATTCTCGTAACTCGTCAAGTTTCTCATTCCTCACGGCCCGTGTAAAGAAGGGAAAGCGAGCACGTGTACGTAGAATCGCGAACGCCTGGCGACCCTGGGCCCCCAAGCACGTTCTTTATCCTGAATCGCGGAAACAGTGATTTTACACGGTTCAGCGGCAGAGTATCCTATCGTTCTCTCAATGCTTTTCCTTAATCGTGTGCTCTGTTATACATATACGAACCATCAGCTGATTCACATGGCTGGAAACGCGACGAGAGGCACAGGGGATGCAGCAGGTGTTATAACGAGTCCTCCTCCACCTCCTCACACAACGAGAAACACGCTCACGCTAACCAGCTATTTTCCTGTGTGTGAACATACTAACAACCAGCTGGTTGGCGCACACTCGGGATCAATCGCGATGAGAGAAGCGTGCGCGGGCACGAATCTCGTGGATGCGCGCCATCCGTACGGCTCTTCCGGACGCGATCGAACTCTGCCATCCTGTGATCGCCAGTTTTTTCCCAGCCAGAAATTACAGACTGATCTCTATCCGTCACACGTGTGTGTGTTCAACACATATTTTTCTTTGCTTCGATCCCCGTGTAGTTTCTAATACGTCTTTGACACTGAAGGTATTCTTCTTTACGTAATGTTATACATGATTTTAGTATTAATCTTTTTTTTTTAATATATATATATATATATACTTTAGTATTAATTGTATATATACTTTTTTTTTAATATATATATACTTTGGTATTAATTATATATATATACTTTTTTTTTTAAATATATATACTTTAGTATTAATTATATATATATATATACTTTTTTTTAATGTATAAATACTTTAGTATTAATTATATATATACTTTTTTTTAAATATATATATACTTTGGTATTAATTATATATATACTTTTTTTTAATATATAAATACTTTAGTATTAATTATATATATACTTTTTTTTAAATATATATATATACTTTAGTATTAATCTTTTTTATTATTATATATGTATTATATTTATATTATATATATATATTAAAATTTTTTATAATATATATATTATATATTTATTTTAATCTATAATCTTTATTATACGACGAGTAGTCTTTGGTATTGTACGTTTTTCGATACATTATACACAACGGTCTTTTTTTCTATATATATTATAAATGTCTTTTTAACATAATCTTCGGTATACGACGAGTAGTCCTTGGTGTAATTGGCAATTTTTGGTGTACGGTTCGGTCAGAGGTTGACGAAGTGTATTCGCATTTAAACGTCGTGTTTAACGATTAATTAATCCTAGAAGCAAACGAAATTCTAGTTCATTCTACTCCAATTGAAAATCGTTGCGAATCGTTCAATTGGTGTTTTTTAAAATGATGTATTAGATCACGTACGATATGAATGCAACGTAAACGTGTAGCTTTCACGTTACAAGATGTTATGAAGACATGTTGAAACGTGCGGTTATTATCTTTCGGTTGTGGAATTCCTCGAATGTTGCAGCTAGACGATTTTTAACGGGACAGAAATTTTTTGACCTTTTATGATTTTTCTATATATATGCGATTTTCAAATGTTGCAACTTCACGTGTGTATACTGTCGCTCAAAAGTGTTGAGACATTCTTTACGTTTAATATTTTTAATATCTGTTGTAAGTAATCAAATTTTTAACTTGCAATTTGTTGAATTTTACAGATTCTTTCTTGTACATAATTATATGTATATATAAATTATTAATAATATAATAAATAATATAATATATATATATAAATTATTAATAATATATAATAATATAATTATATATATATAAATTATTAATAATTAATATAAATTATATATATGTTAATAGTTAAATATATTAATATTTCTGTACACTGGAATATATGGTATATAACATATCGTATATTAAAAATATTAAATATATTAAAAACTATATATAAATTAAGTAATATTCATTGCGGATACATTCTTAATATTCAAAACCATCAAAATCCATCACTGATCACTTTATTTTGGATTATTGTTCTCATTCATTTTTCTTCCTTTAATATTTCTTTATCTTGTTTACTGGAACTTTTGGAAGCCTAGACATATTTTTCGAAGAAAAAAATACAACGAAAGCTGAAAATGTTAATTTTATTTAATTTTATTTCGTCACGTTGTTCGTTAATCAATCAACCTGATGGATTATGATAACCAGTCACAGTTTCGTGACGTGGATCGTTGACCGAATGTGACAGACGTGAATCATGCTTCTTTATCGAGGTAGAGATTTTAAAATAATTAACTGACGAAAGTAAACATGGCTCCTTCATTTTCTTCTTAGAGAGAAGATAAATATTGAATCTGCAATATTATATGACACGTGGGTTTGAAGTTTCTTTCTCCATAAAACGATATTTAACAGAAACAGTAAGAACAACTTTTAAAGAAACGAATTCTTCGATAGGATATAAAGATCGCTACTTACATCATTCCCAAATCTTGTTTTTATTCTTCAATGCAAGTTCAACCCTAATATACGCAGACGAACAAAGTTATATAAATAACTTCGTTAAAATTTAACTTGCACGTCTGAAAATTTTCTATCGAGAGAGGTCGAAGAAAGTATATCTACACTCACCTCATCCCACCTTCTTTTTGATTATCCTTCGGTAACTAGAATAGCAAAACAGCTAGAAAATTTATCTCTAAAATTTATATTAATTTAATTTAATTTAATTTATATTAATCTCAAACACCAAATCAAACATACGTTCTCTGCTTAAGACATTATTTACGAAAATGAAAATCATTTACACACTCGTGCACAATTTCCAGGACCCAAAATCACACGTCACTTGACTTGGCTTTATCAATACAATATCAAGCTACAATTGTGCTTTGTTGAATTACCAATTTAAAAAAAAAAAAGAAAAATGTACAATTATATAGTCATGAATCTGTTATAAACGTTCGTTCGTCTAGTTCGATTTCGCGTGTCGAGCACCGGTGTCCGTCTTACTGACGATCTATCAGACAAGCTACTGTCTACGTAGAAGGTCACTGTTTCCTGCTATTAGCCGGCAAACTCGATCAGAAAGTCAAGCGACGATGTACGCCGTTCATATAATAAGCCGATACAAAGAACGACTACTAACGAGCCGGTCGCAGACGTAAATCGCAAGGGAGCGGAGCCTGGTTGCCAAGAGAATTACATTTGCATGCTGCGTGTAACGTGGCCCCCGTAGAAAGTCAAATGGTAATCGCCTCTGATTATTCTTAATAGATCGGAGTCGCAAGCGCAAACGCTGACAGATCAAATCGAGACCGTGTCAGTCATTGAAAAGTACATATTCTGCCGCTTGTTAACAATGATAGTCGGAATTGAATTTACGTAATGAATTATTCTGCCCGATATAGTAATAAAGGTTTATCGTTAACGGAGTCGGTAACCGTGGACTTTTGAAACAACGCTGAAGATAAGATAATGTTTAATAGTCGCGATAAAATAGTCGGCTTTATATTTCAAGAAAGAGTAAAGAAGTAATTTTGAAAAATACAAACAAGGGCTGCTTTTATTGCAAGCTCTTCGCTCGTTTCATTCAAACATTGTTCTATTAATGTTGCTTGGGTCTGAGGTTTTATAAATTAGACTTTAAAAGTTCTCTCGACGAATAAATTTTGAGATATCATGTAATTGCGTTGAGGAAATGTTCGACAATTATGATTAAAAGTAAATTGATTTGACGTTTCTTCATGGCTACGAAGAGTTAACATGTGCAGTCACTTACCAAAATTTACCATCATTTAGAACAATTGTTAACCAATTGAAAAGATCTTCCTGTTTTAAATATAACTGAATGACTATAGGGGGAGATCTCCCCGCTTTTTGCGTGCTGCATTGTACTATTAATACACGTGCACAACATTTACACAAAGCTTAAATTTATAATCAAAAGTAACATTTTCGAGTACGAAATTTTATCGTAATTATTCAAAGATTATCTGATTAAATTTGTTACTCTGATAAAATTCTAAATTTACCTATTACAATCACACTGGACACGATTTCATTTGTAGATCATATTATTAATTATATTTATATACTAACGATCTTTAATGAATTCTGATTATTAATAAACTAAGTATTATTCCATTGTAAAAAGAAATGTCTCAATTTACATTCAACTAATCTTCAATTATTTGATTCCTACATGCTCCAATATGGATTAACCTAATAATGCTGTCTTAAAAATTTGGTTACTTCATCTTTTTATCGTGTAATGTTAATTATACAAATCGATTTAAAGATTACGACTGAAAAACGACAACGCTAAATGGAAATTCTTGTACTCACGAATATATACAGGATCTAAAGAATTGTATATTTCATTAAAAAAATCTTGTTTATTTAGAATCGTCTAGGCATAACAGTGAACGTTCGTAGCTAACTGTGTAAACTATCGTTCATAATGTACACATTTGTACAGCTTATTTTAACTGCTAATTTGTACACGATTTAAATACTTAAAATTCCACTTTCTTTTAGTCCTCCTTTCCTTGGCTAGAAACTTGGTCTTTCGATTTCGATGGATATATTACAAACAACGACAATTGTAACACAGACAAGATAAAACCGACGATATTCTGGAACTTTAAAAACATACATAAAAATTAGCGAGCAATATCAATCTATAAATTTTTAAAATTTCTCTTATCTACTTACGATAATGAAAGCGTTGTTAATTGCAAGGCCGTACAATAGCCACAAGAATGAAACAATAGTGCCCATAAATATGAGTGGAAACGGAAGGATATCCGTATTTTTCGTCTTTATAATCTCTCCCTGAAAAAAAAAAGGAAAAGCAATAAATGATATACATACATAGTCACATTGTATTTTGTGAACATGGTTAATTAATATTACATTTAATATTAAGTCATGTATGTTTAGTCTATTATAAATCTATTATAAACAGAAAGTAGATGTGTATTATAAATAACAGTGTTTTAAAGTCACATGGCAATTCAATTCTAATATAATAAGATAAAGAAACCAGAAGTATAGATTATGAAAGTACTCTTCTTTCTTAAGTATAGATTACTAACGTTTTAGCATGAGTCGCAAGCATCACGTTACATTATCGCTAAACATCCAAAAGTTAATAAATTCACCGTTGGAAAAATACGAATAAAATGTCAGACTAGATAGTGCGATGTATAATGTTTGAAATTGAACATCATTGGTAAAACACGGTTACGCTCGATGACGTACAAAGAACATCTCGGTCAACGAGAAATTAAGGTAGCACGTAACAAAGTACTTACGATATAATTAAATACGCTAACATTTCGCTGAGAAAATTTAAAGATGCGCAATCTTAAAATTAATCCTTTAAAATTAAAGAAACTCGAGAAATTTCATTGCCGAAGACAATATCAATTCTCACAACAGTACCTTGAAACTTCCATTCTAGTTGCGCCATTTCTATCTGAATAATTTGCATAATTTGTCACGGTTCGCAGCATTTTAGAACTCGTCTCAACGCGGGATTGTTAACGTAACTACTGAAAAGTTTCTTCGGCGATCATTGTGCAAGAAGAAACTGATCAATTGAACAAAAAAGAAGAAACATACATATGTCCTTTAACATTTAAAATGTAAGATGAGCATGAACACAAAAGAAAATTGTAATATTTATGCTATTCGTTTGAGTGAAGAGAAAAAGAACGTGCAAAGGGTTTGTGGAATTATACTTACAATATGTACGAGAGGAGATGCTATTAGGAGGAGCAATAATACTGTCACAATCAAACCAAATCTAAATTCAATCTTCTCGGGACTTTCCACTTGTGCATACGCAAGGAAGACCGTTACAAAAGCTGTTGCCTTGCCTATTAATGCAAGTGTATCCTTCTAAAAATGTGGAAGACTTGATGTAAAATACTTATTCAGGCGCTGATGCGGTTAGAAATATTTGTCCAAAATTTCTTCGCACAGCAGGAACTTCGCTTCTTCGTTAAGGCATAATTTTGCCGCGACTATCGATATATTTTTATTTTATTACAATTATTCGAAATTCAATGTAAAAAAAAAACGTGTCTCATTGTATATCTATCGGTTGTGCAATAGATTTGCAAACAACAAATTTAGTTGCAAAGTCCATATACAGGCGTATATTGGCATCATTTTGCACCACTGATGGATATACGATTTTGCTAGATGTAGCCACGTGTAGATTACACAAAAACATTAAAAAATATAATAAACAGAAAGTATTAAATTTTTATAAGCGTATGATATACATAATAGAAAAGACTGAAATATGTACAACAATTAAAATTAATTATAATCTCTGACAGTCTTTTAGTCTCTGATTGATAAAATTTGGTATTTTTTTCAAAATTTAAACAAGCAGCTTCATCTATATATATTGTAACAGAATGTTAACTGAAAAATTTAAATATGAAAAATAATTTACAAATTACAGATAAGGAAAGTAATTAAAAGAGTAACATCATGCATTTTAATTTGAAGATATGAACTCGTACCGTATGTGGTGAGTAATAATAATATACAGCCATGTATGCTACATTTGTGAGTAATCCAAAAACATTAACATTAATCATCGCAGGATCCCTCACAATCCATGCATACTGAAGCATTAAAATGCACCTAGAAAAGATTTTTGATTCACTCATACATCTATTCGAACAATCCATATAATTGCCTTTTATATTACAATGTATAATTTCTTACTATAGTTATGAACAGAAATTAATATTTCTATTAGAAACAAAGCTATCAATACTGTGTCTTCTATAATAAGTAATAAAATAGAGCACTCACATTCCTATGCCACCCACAAAAGGCATGGCATCAAATCCTCTGGACGAGCCTTTTCGATAAATATCCTTACATACCAATCTGTAATTAAATGATAATCATATATTATTTTTTTATCATTTAATTCATTTTAAATTAACATATAATACAAAATGTTTGTGTACAAAATTACAAATATAAATTTTGATTTATATATTTACAAAATTTTAAATTACAAAATAAAAAGTTTAATTTTAAATGACTTATAAATCTAGGTGATAAACAGGTATACATCATGTATTATAATTTGTTTACTTAGGTAACCATATTAGATTTCTACTACATTACATACATGAGATAGTATTAGATAACTGCATTAATGTATGAATCATGTTACCTCAGCACTTCACTTTAAAATTATATATATTTGCAAACCATAAGAATGTAATTGTAAAATAAGAACTAATTATCATATATAAACAAGAACTAATTATCATTCATTTTAATTATCAATTTGTATATTATAAAATAAAGAATAAATATCAATTAGGTGTTTTCATTACAAAATAATGATAAATCGAATGTACATTTTTATCATACAACATTCTCATTCTCATTGCTTTAATTTACAAATATGAAAAATAATATAATTACTTGTATGAAAATCTGTACATAAACATATATATAATATTTATTACAATCAATCAATCATTTTAAAAAACACATCCGCATATTTGCGGACAAAATATTTGTTTAAATATTTAAATGTCACAATAGCGAAAGAAATTTAAATTCAAATTAAGATCACACCCAAGAATCTACCAATACGTATATTTATTTAATATTTCTTAAATTGTGACTTAAAACTCGCAGAAGTAGCACAATTCCTCACAATTTCGCGATATGTGAGAAAAATAAGAATATCGATTGTTCGACGTAACACGTGGAAGAAAAGTCAAAAAGCAATGCCAATGTAAATGTCAATGTCAATGTCAATGCTAAGAAACTATTACATGACTATGTAAGTCTATCGAACTTACTTTTGTCTGAAAAACATACAATTTCCTAACAGAAATCAAGCGTAAAGAAAAAAAGAAAAAGATGTATACAAAGTGAAGTTTGAGTTTTCTTAACTCACGTTCCGGCTAACATTTGACCCATTGTGCAAAACGAGGCACACGTTGCCACGAGTTCTTTGTAATCCTCCAAGCCCATTGTACTTAAGCGGTTATCTTCGTCGACGTTCAATAACTACTGCGACTGTGAATCACTTCATCACTACGGAATTCAATGGAATGTCCCCCCAATCCCCAACACGAGCGGCGAGATTAGAAAAAAAAAAGATGATTGGTAATTTTATTTCCATCTGCGGCGCTAGTGTATCGCCTCACTGCGATAATGTTGTACCACAGATAGTGCGCGACAAAGATAGTAATAGTGATCAGCTCCAGTGTTTCACCGCTACGTGACGCTAGCACTTCAGTGTTCATAAATCAATCAAATTTTCTGCAAAAAAAAAAACTGGAAAATTCAAGCTATTGGGAGTTTTATTCATATGTGATATTATATGCGTTTACGTTGAAATTGAGTCTCACAATGACAGAAAATAAAAACGATAAAGCAAAAATTGATTTGGGTTTATTAGAGGAGGATGATGAATTTGAAGAGTTCCCTGCTGAAGGTATGACAATATTTATTATAATTTAATGAAAATGGTTCGTAAAGTTCTCTAACCTCAAATTGATTGAATGACTTGATAGATTGGGCAGCTGCTGACGAAGACAATGAAGATATCAGTGTTTGGGAAGACAATTGGGATGATGACGATGTAGAAGATGACTTTAATCAACAATTAAGGTGACTTTTATTGTAACATTATTTTGGAAGAATTTCAAGTTTGTAGCTGATCAAATAGTCGAAGCATATAATTCTCATCACAATGATATTTATTACAATAGTTTATCACAGTATATTAATCACATGTATATAAAATGTAACAATGTATTTAATTTACACTTGGAAATGGTATGATAAAATTTTTGAAAATAAAATTATTTATTTCAGAGCACAGTTGGAGAAACAAAAAGGCTCAAGCAAAGGGAAGGAATCTTAAATTATAAATTACATGTTATTATGCATAAGAATAAATATGTATTAGATTACTAAGATTTTGTATACATTTAAATTTCATTTGATATATATTGATAGACTTTTATTGTGAAATATAATTTTTCATAAATATTTGTACAAAACTTAAACATTAAATATAAATGTAGAATTTAAATGCATGTAGTACCTAATATGCATGAAGTACACCGTACAACTTATAGAGTCTTGTATTAATGAAAAAGATACTTGGCATCCTTAGTGTAAATGTGTAATCAGGTACGTAGTCCATTTTTGAAAATTTTATATAATTCTACATTATTAAGTCAACAAATTTAGTACATATGGCACATCAATTCCTTCTGACTAAAATACACTTCAATAGCTAGTAACCTTTAGTGGCTCAATAAAATCAAAAAAAAAAAAAAGGAATTGAATCTATCTTTTCTGATGAAACAAGTGAAATCACTGAACAGTTGTAGTATGATTTGACCTACATGAATTTAATAACTGTGATGCTAGAACATCCAGTATTTGTAGGTTTAAATCTATATTAACTTTTTTAATTTCATAAGAATCAAGTAAATATTTTAAAATATTCAATGTACCATCTTCGCCGAATATTAATTTTATATCATTTGGAATTTTAGCTAATAATTCTTGCAACAGTCTTTCTTTTAATAATGCCAATGATTCCTCGGAAAGTTTATTTTGTACGGTATGAAGTGATATATTACCCAATTGATCAAAAATTTGTAAAGTAGCAGTCTGTAAATTGTACAAAATTCATATTTGAATATAGAAATAACAATTCTCGTATTAATAAAAAAAAAGTAAAGGAAATTATTACTTGTAATACAGGTTCAGTAACATTTCCAATAAGTAACTTTGCCCATCTAACAACTGCCTCTTGTTGCAAGGCATTGTTACTTCGAATTCCTGTCAGTAATTCACAAATGAGATCTACAGCAACGCATGTTAATATTAGATGTGAATCCAATTCATCAACATCCTCTGAAAATAAAAATAAACAAAATAAAAACATTTTATAACATATAATTTCTATAACATTAATTTACCTTCGTAAGAACTTTTTACAATTTCCCACCAGTGACTAAATAATGCAGAATCATTAGTACTCTCCATTGAATCAACAGCTTCATAAGCAGAATCCACACAAGAATATTCAGTTCTTTCAGTTATTAATTGTTGAAGTTCAGCTGCCAAACTTTTCTATTGTAATTAATTCATAAATTTAATTCAATATAAAATACAAATTTAACTAAGTCTATATAATGAAAATTCAAATTTAATTACTGATTTTATATCCTCGATAAATCTCCATGGAATATCAGCTAAAGGCATTAATGTAGGTAATGGAACATTCTCTTCCTCTTGTTCAATTTCAAAACCTGGAACAACCGTCTTTAAGGTATTAAAAACACCACTTACTGTTTTGACCAAAAATTTGTCAAATCGTGCTGCAACTACATCTGCCTTTTTATTAGCGTTACTACTTGGCCGTAAAAAATGTCGCAATTGCGGTGGACATTCATTAGCCAAGCGTGTAGTTAAAGTTTTCAAATAATTTTCTAATTCAAGACGACCACCTTCTGGTAATATCAAGTTTGACATAATAGACGTTAATTCTGGGATCTGAAAATTGTACGTTACGTACATAAAATAAAATAAAAAGTATTTCAATAATTAATAAGTATCAAATGTTATATTCACCTCTTGTAGACTAGTATGTAACTGAGCAAAATCACGATATTGTCTTCTAACAGTAGCAGTTGTAGTTTCAAATAGATCGACTCCACGTTGTTCTATATCATCAAATTGAATACAATAAAATAACTGCTGTGATCCATCAAGTGCTGTATGAAATTCTGTCCAAGGAATGGACAAATTTGTAAATTGACTACCTTCATATACTACATAAGATTTTTCTTCCACATGTCTGAAGAATGGAATGCAAATATATATATTTGATTTATTATTAAAATTAAAAAAAAAAATACTAGTACTTACAATGGTGTATTCACAGTTGATTTTTGTTGTAATACAGTTCTAAGTCTAGCAATTGTTGTAGCAAAATCTGTAGGTTCCTCGTATACAGGAGATATTTTATCCTCTTCCATTTCAGAATCTACCTCTGTCATACTTTGACCCCATAGACCTCTATGTTCTGTACCTAAATTATGTAAACGTAAAGTGGGTCTTTTATCATTTATAGACGATGAGGTATTTTCACGATCAATTAAAGCTTCAGTAGATGACTCAGATTTTGGTTTTGGTAGCGGTCGTGGAATCACAGCTGCTGTTGCAGATGTTATACCATCTCCCAGAGCATTGGATATAACTTTCTGAAATAGTTATTTTATTAGTTCATAATAATCAATGATAAATAAGCATGGTAGAATTGTGCACATACTTTGGCTTGTGATACATTATCTTGCTGTTCACTTTGAGTTTTGGAAATGTCCTTTGGTTGCAGTAAATCAGATAAGTTTCGAAATAACCAATTTGGACAACTTACTGTTTCAATGACTATTAATAATCTTTTTGCTAAGATAGATAGTAACAATTTACATGGCAATGAACTTGTTAACTCCCATTGTAAAAATTCTTGTGCTAAAATAGTAACCATTCGATGAAGCCTATGCTCTAAGGCTGGCATATTACGGGAACCGGAATGTAAATACTTAAATGCTTCCTCAATATTTGATGCAGTTCCTTTTTCTACTCGCCGTAATGCTCTATAATACAATTCAATTAATTTATTTTAATTTATGGACTAACTTACTCCATAAACATATATAACATACCTGTGATATTCCTTTAAATGTAATAAGAACACATTAAACAGCTTATGAGTAAGCTTTATTTTGTCTATTAAACTGATTTTATGAAACAATTTGGTCAATAATTTTTTTAGTAACTTTTGTGCTTCATTAGGAAATGATGTATCGTCGCTGATAGATTTATACCAAATATTTATGAATTTTAAATTTATTTCTTTTACTAAATTATGTATTTCTATTGCTCTTTTTCTTTTTGCAGAAATATCTTTCCCACTAGATGTACTTTTTGTTTTATGCTTTTGCTTCTCAGCAGATACTTGTGTCGAATTTGCATCTTTATTTTCTTCTACTGCATTCTCATGTTTATTATTACATTCACTTTCATTTTCAGAATCATGTAATTTTAAATTGTTTAGTATTTTTTTATGTAACCAGTTATTAAGAAATTTTATATTAAGCGGCCTATTAGCTTTCAATGCAAGTTGAAATAAAAAACAACTGAGCCACACTGACAATATTATAATAAAAATAGCCCACAAAATAGAAACATATATTGGTAATGGTGTGAGACCAGCCCATTCTTGTATAACTAAAGATAACAATGCGCATAATATACTTAAAATCAACAATATCTGGTTCAACCAGCTCATTGGTATAACTTTCCCCATTGTAAACATAATATAAGAATACTACCTTCAATATTACATTTTGTGCCAATATAATATAAATCTGTAAAATAAATGTTTTTATTCTTTTACAAGCTTACCATATTGTTCGATGCTATTATATTCTATATCAGAATAACATATTAAAATATTCATAAATAATTTGAAGCAATAATACAAAAACGTTCATTTAATAATATATTTTTCCAGTGAAAGATTGTGTCTCCAAAGAATCAAACACTCTTATAATTTTACAACTATTTTCAAAAACCAGACTTCTATTAAAATCTTTAGTTACTTACAAAACTTACCTTATATTTCTAAAATATTTCTATTCCATATATTGACATATTGATGTTTTATACTGTAACCTCGGCATTTTTGATTCTCGTTCGAGTTGGATCATAAAACTCCTTAACGAACGTGAGCCGTCTCATATATAGATATTGATAATCACAGATTACTAACTTAATCCCTTTGTACTTAAATGCACCTGAATTTTCATGAACATTTTATTTTCTTTTGTGGTCATACGATAAGACATAGATTACATCTTAAAAATAATGGCGATCTTCTTTGCCATCGCTTGATTTATCTATCCTCGTTTTCATAGAATATACGTGACAGTGGCAATCATTGTAAATGTTTCGTATATATGTATATATACAAACAATACTTTATGTTATTTTGTCAAATTACAATTAAATAAGTTTTTTAAATGATAAAACACACTTGTAATACTGTCTCTCGAATTTAAGGTTATAAATGTAATTGTTTTACACTCTTTGTTAATAAAGAACAGAAATATGTTGTGACACATGCGTACATGCATATGCCTGTGAAAACGTAGAAGATAATCGAAAATTATTGTATAGATACAGGCTGAGTATATTCTTTATTATGAAAAAGCATTTGAATATCTGAACTACTTAACAAGTATAGTATGTTACTTATAGTAAGAACTTTCTACCCAATACGTATTTGATTTAAAGATTACGATCACAAAAAATTCAATATGTTTTATGTTTGTAGACATGCATAAATATTTTTAAAAAATGTATGAAAATACTTTTAAAAATACAAATTTAGAAAATAACATTTAGAAGTTAAAAATGAAGTAATTTAACAATCAATTCATATTATTTTTTGACTGTGATTCGAGTTTTTACATTGTCATTCAATTTAGAATTGAAATAAATTATTTTGTAATTTAAGATATTAATTAAAAAAAAATATATATTTCTAAATTAAATTCTGCTACGTGTACGTAATATTTACCTACGTTTAGATCGAGATAAATTCACTGTGTAATGATCGAGAAACTGATAATTTTCTATCCATTTGGGACGAAAGCAATTTATCTATGAGTCAAACAATTAAATTGTAATCGTCATATCAACATTATCACGCATCTAAAATAAAATAATACAAATCTTATATATCATGCTTGATAACAAATTTTCTTTCAGATAGAAAAGTCAAGTTGAAAACAAGGAATTAACTGTTCGTCTATTTCATTAAAAATATAATAGACCGAGTAATTATATCATACGATCAGTTTTCACTGTTCATTCAAAACAGGTCATACGATACGACGTATAGTAATTAAGTGGCAAAGAACAGCGTTTCGTAATACGTGTGTATACACATACTTGCCGAGTAAGCGAAGCTAGCTATCTGTTTTCTAGCATTAGCATTCTCAGCACGTGTCAGTCTCGTGAAGAGGAAACGAAGTGTAATAAAGTCGTCCTAAACTCGGTGTACCTCTACCCCATGCAGGTGCACGTACGCATGCATACACGTCCCAAAGAGTGCGGGCTCTAATTTTAGTTGGCGAAGCGTCGGAATAAGCGTAAGTCATCCGGGGGCCTTGTAAGGCTAGGAGACGATCCCGGGGACCCCCGGTATGCACTCCCCAACATCCACAGCATCCACGTACCGTACAACTCTATTTTTGTTATTTCTTTATTTGTAGCACAGTTTTATCGCTCGTCTTGGGTTACGGATTTTCCTTCGAAGGGAAATCTATAACGGACCATGTTCAAACTCGGAAGATGCCCGGTGTATCGAGTTTATTAAAATTAGTTTCGTTTATAGAATTACTGAGATATGGAAATAATTATTTCGACGCGGAAAAACGCGAAGTAATAATACTTAGATAATAATATTTAATGAATCGAGTAAGTGGACAAGGGAATAAATGAAACGTTTTGTTGTGCAATGATATTCAACTCCACAAATAGCGAGTAAATCGTACGGAGAAGCGATAAATTTAATTATTTCTATTTCGGAGGATTTTGCCGTGGCCCTTTAATTGGGATAGCGATGTCTCTGTAAAATGTTATGGCTGAACACAGGTGTAGCCTGCAGATCTATTTCTGGATCAAAGTTATCGTCGATCCTCGATATAGAGTACCTTCCGTTTTGCGGATTCAACGCTTACATTATTCTAATTCTTAGTGTCACTTTAATTGCGACAATGAACAGAGAATTATGAAGATTTTCCTTAATTGCCGCGTAAGTCTACAGCCTACTGAAAGAAATAGAAATACAGTCACTTAGAGTTGCACACAGATTGGCTAGCTGCCAGAGTACACTGTTATCCGCAGTTAAATGTCATGAGAATCGAAAACACAATAATTCTCTTGAACTTTATCTATAAAATTTGTAATTTGTTTCCATCCATTATATCATCATTTTGAGCGTTCGCCAGAAATACCGCGTGCGATAAGGTTCACATAATCCGACATTGAATTATTATATAATACAGTTTTATTATCATTAGTTATGTGATATAATAAGAACAATACGCCAGGCAGCAATATGAGCCGACGTCGATGCGCCTGGTTATGGTTTTCCATATCATTATACTTCACTCTCGTCGATTACCACCCCGTGCGTATCGCAAATGCCAAATTACGTGCGCTTACGATTTCAAAGAAGCCTTTGTATCTGTGTATGTATGCATGTGTATGTGTGCATGTCTCTGTACGATACATGTAAGTCAGCGTATACATGTTCACAAGACCGAGACGGGCTTGTTGCAATTGCCGAGGAGATTATTGTCAATAAATTAATTAACGTTAATAACAAACAGTCGTGTTGTACAAACTAAAAAGTAAAGTACAGTCTGATAAATGTGTAGAATAAAGGCACTTTAGTAATTTTCCTTTCCCAAATCTCGTGTCCCCCCCCCCCTCCTCCTCCAACGTTCTACCTTCTTCTCTCTTTCTTTCCCCTGGCGTCGGTGCTTCCCATATCTGAAGGGGTCGGGGCTCGAGATACACGAGCACGAATAGAAAAAGAAAAAGAAAAGAAAGCAGGCGAAAATCATGAATCCCTGTATCAGATGCAACATCTTAGAAGCACTTGCGATGAACGATGCCTGGTCCGGACTCGTCGTACTCCTGCTTGGAGATCCACATCTGCTGGAAGGTGGACAGCGAAGCCAAGATAGATCCACCGATCCATACGGAGTATTTCCTCTCGGGAGGAGCGATGATCTTGATCTTGATGGTCGACGGGGCCAGGGCAGTGATTTCCTTCTGCATACGATCGGCAATACCGGGGTACATGGTGGTGCCACCAGAGAGTACGGTGTTGGCGTACAGATCCTTGCGGATGTCGACGTCGCACTTCATGATGGAGTTGTACACGGTCTCGTGGATGCCGCAGGATTCCATACCCAGGAAGGATGGTTGGAACAGGGCTTCCGGGCAACGGAACCTCTCGTTACCGATGGTGATGACCTGTCCGTCGGGCAACTCGTAGCTCTTCTCGAGGGAGGTGCTGGCAGCCGCGGTGGCCATTTCCTGTTCAAAGTCCAGGGCAACGTAGCAAAGTTTCTCCTTGATGTCACGGACGATTTCTCGCTCAGCCGTGGTCGTGAAGCTGTAGCCTCTCTCGGTAAGGATCTTCATGAGGTAGTCGGTCAAGTCGCGACCGGCCAAGTCCAGACGGAGGATGGCATGAGGAAGGGCGTAACCTTCGTAGATGGGTACGGTGTGAGAAACACCGTCTCCAGAGTCCAAGACGATACCGGTGGTACGACCGGAGGCGTACAGGGACAATACGGCCTGGATGGC